AAGAGAGAGAGAGAGATTGGTTTTGGGAGCAGAGCACAATCGGCATGCATAGGTCAGTGAGAAATTTCATTTTGTGACAATCACTTTCTCAGGCTAGGGTACCTTGTGTAAATAATATTAAACTTGGTGGAAGGACTGGGAAAGATATACAGGAAAAGGAGTGATGTGTGAGTGTGAGTGTGAGTGTGAGAGAACTAAAAGAGAGTGAAAGAGATACCAGGTCGAGGCTAGATGAGGATACCGCTTTATTTGGGTCGGGTGCAAGTCAAGTATGCCCAAACCAGAGTCAGTTAGACTAAAGTGTGTCGAGTACTCGAGTCCAAGTCAAGTGGGACTCACTCTGGCCTGCTGGGCTGGTCGGGAAATAAGTATCCAAGGTCGGGATGATCAGGCCCTAGGCTCGACTCTAGCCCATCAGGTCGTGGCTGGGTTCAGAGTTCTTGATCAAGGTAGACATAGGCACATAGCAAAGGGAGGGAGGGATTAGAGAAAGAGAGAGAGGGAGACTTACAGGGCCAGGGGGAGATTCATGGTTGTGTTCACTGAAGCCCAGGACTTTCAATGCTCTCCTCCCACTGTCAACAGCAGTGACTACAAAACCACAGTTGAACAAATCAATCACTTCTTAAACTCCCAAAATGAAATTCCCCCTAAAGAAAACGAAATCAAAATGGAATTTCCTAAAATCGAGGCCTTCCCTTAGCTTGACAGTGTATAACATGGACTACACAAACTCATGAGCAATGGGAAGTATGCACTGTTCTGGAGTCTTGGGAGAGGGGAAGGCTTAGAGAGAGAGAGAGAAATATTGGGAGAGGGGAAGGCTTAGAGAGAGAGAGAGAAATATTGGGAGAGGGGAAGGCTTAGAGGTGGATGTGATTTGGAAAAAAGAAAAGAGTACAAGAGAAAAAGATCAAATTATAAGCAAGAAAAAGATCACATTACTAGCAATCAAAAGCCAGAGAGAGAGTAAATAAGAAGCAAACAGAAGCTGGAGAGTAAATTAGAAGCAAACAGAGGTATAGAGAGAGAGCAAATTAGAAGCACACAGAAGGTATAGAGAGAGCAAATTAGAAGCAAACAGAAGCTAGAGAGCAAATCATAAGCAAACAGAAGCTAGAGAGCAAATCATAAGCAAACAGAAGCAATAGAGAGAGAGAGAGCAAATTAGAAGCAAACAGAAGCTAGAGAGAGAGCAAATTAGAAGCAAACAGAAGCTAGAGAGAGAGCAAATTAGAAGCAAACCGAAGCTAGAGAGAGAGCAAATTAGAAGCAAACAGAAGCTAGAGAGAGAGCAAATTAGAAGCAAACAGAAGCTAGAGAGAGAGCAAATTAGAAGCAAACAGAAGCTAGAGAGAGAGCAAATTAGAAGCAAACAAAGCTAGAGAGAGAGTAAATTATAAGCAAATAGAAGCTAGAGAGAGAGAGAGAGAGAGCATATTATAAAGCTGAGTACAAGGGGGAACAGCAAAACAGATCAAATTCTAAGCAATCAGAAGCTAGAGAGAAATAGTGAGTATACATGCCTTCGGAGGAAAAGAGAAGGGGTGGTGAAAAATAGCAAAAATCCGGCAAATAGAAATAAGGTATATTTCAGGGGGTGATGCAAAACCCTTAAATAGCACTGAACATATTGAATGAGAAACCTTAAAGCTGAAAGTTCACAAAAAATAAGCTTTTATAGCCTCATAAGAATCTGCCATGAGCAAGGTAAAACAACAAATGGATCATCTTGAAGCACATATGGCCTGAGTTCATAATTTAGACCAAACAAACTAGAGAGAGAGACAGAGAGAGGAAAAAAATAAGAATGCCACTTATTAACATGAAAAAATACAAGTAGAGAAAAAAATACCATTTGCAAAAAATGGGAACCAATTCCACAAAAAAGGTAAAAAAAAAAAAACTGTTTGGCCTTTGAGAGAGACCCATTGAGACTTCTAGAGAGAGAGAGAGCTAATAGAACTTACAAAAACATTGAGTGAAAATAGCAACTGATCTCTTGAGGAAGACCCATTGGGGATCTTATCAGTAGAGAGAAAGGACACCCATTAGAACCCACAAGAACATGAAAATGAAATTACACTGATCTCTTCTTTAGATAAAGACCCAGTTGAGAGACCTATTGGTAGAGAGAGAGTGTGTCAGAGGCCCAATAAGAGTCCTATTAGTAAAGAGAGATAGGACTCCAAAATAGAACCTAAAAAACAGAAAGAGAGAGAAAGGATACCAAAAGAGAACCTGGACAACAATGAAATGAAAGTACACCCCTCTCTTGGAGAGGCAGTAAACACATTAAAAAGACTCCTCTACTAGAGAAAGAGAACAGGAGAAAATACAGATACTAGAGAGAGAAGGGGAGAGAATTAGAGAGAGAGAGAGAGAGTGAGAGGACAGTTAACCTTGAAGAAGCCTGTTTTGGGTGGAGACACCCATTAAGACTCCTCTACTAGATAGAGAAAGGGGGGGAATCAGAGAGAATTTAGAGAGAGAAAGTTAGAGAGAGAGGAGGACCATTACCCTTAGAAAAGCCAGTTTTGAGGAGCCTCTCGACTATTTTCCGGTCAATGGGGCAGTCATCCACCACCAGGGCATGGAACCCTCCTCTCTCCTCCGCCTCCTTCTCCTCCTCCCCCCCCTCCCCCTCCCCCTCCCCCTCCCCCTCCTCCCCGTCTCTCTGTCTCTTCTGCCCGCCCATCTGCCAGCCTGCCCGCAAACCCTCGCAGGCCTTCTCCCTTAAATGGGGAGCCGCTGCCCGCGGTCAGTCCGGCCCCTGCCCGTGTTGCCCCTTCTTGTCGGCGAATCTTTCACCCCTCACTCTCTAGTCTCTGTATTTGACCATACCTCAACTCTCTCTCTCTCTCTAATTTCTTTGCTCTCTACAAAGGAGCAATCACCTCTCGCTCTCTCTGTCTAGTTACTCTCTCTCGTCTCTTTAGTTTCTCTCTCTACAAAGGAGGAGTCCTGTCTCTCTCTCTAGCCCTCTCTCTATTTTCTTTAGCTTCTCTCTCTAAAAACATGGATTTGGGATTGCCCCATCCACATCATGCGGTATTTTGCTATTTTTCACCCAAAAATAAACGTGATATTACCAGATTTGAGATTGAAAATATGTGAAGAAAAGAAATTTTGTGCTCCCGCACGTGTATGATCCAAGTCCCAAAAGCAGGTGCATGAATACTTCTAAGAACCAATGGGATGGAATCCCTTGAACCTTAAAAACATGGAAAAAGGATAACTTCTATGCCTGTTAAACAATGAGTTTTCAGAGTACCAAAATTCAGTTCTTTTGAAAAACTCATCTAGTAATTCAAAGTTTATAGAACTCGAAGAGATCAGTGGGTGGGTGATCCGGTCCTTTGTGTTCAATCAATTTTTTTCGGGACTATTGATTCGACTAAGCCAGATCTGTACATTGGGTGAGTTATCCAAAACTCGACTCCATGATTTAAAACAATAATTGATTCTAAATTAGATCTTAAATTTTAGAGAAATTTGTCAAAATATCCATGAGATATGCACTATTTAGCATTTTGCACATATGACACTACTCCAACCCATGTTCATGTATCTTTTGATGGGGATTAAATCAAATTATATGGATAAATTATTAAAATAGTTTATCTCACATGAATATTTTGATAATTTATCCAAATTTTTTATCAATCAATGTTTAAAACTAAGTAAATTTTTATCTAAATCGTCAATCTTTATGGGAATCGATTAGGACCGAACCAGTTCTAAGGTAGTTATAGGTCCCATTTCCCTAAAACTCCTTAATATGTATAGAGAAAAATGGTTTGATAGTCCTATAAAAATAAGTAAAGCCTCACCTCATAAGTCATCAAAAATTGCAATTCAAGCATGGAAAGACCTTTAAATCGATTCAAGCATGGGAAAACCTTTAAATCATCGTGGCTTGAACATTAGGGTTGTGAAAACAAATTAGGACTTCAAGGTTTAAATTTGATGTAATAATGTAAACCCGAGGGTCTATAATGAATTTGGGTTGATTTGATAGTCACGATTGTATTTCATATTTAAATTTTAATATTTTTGATATAATTTTAAATCACATTAAATTTGGAGTGTCAGTTCTTCTCAACAAAGTGCATCTAATAAAAATATTAAAGAAATTATTCATAAAAAATAAATTGACCAAAATACTTTTATAATTTTAAGAGTATATTGATCGATTTATTTTTTATAATTTCTTTTTAATTTCGTTATTGGGTTAGTCTATTTTTCAAAAGTGTACACTCAAAATTCAAATAAATTGAATTTGTAAAAAATAAAAATAAAATTCAAGTATGAAGAAGATCACTTATTGATATCGATCCAAATCCAATCTAAATTGCTAGAGACATATATGTGGGTGAACAATCTACCGTAATAATATGGATTCTGAAACATTAATTTCTGCAAAATAATACTAAGCGGTTTCTAACCCGACTGTGTTTACAGCATGTCCCGCGTGAGCACCTTTTTGATGTACCATTTATAGGCTATAAGTTATAGCCAGGCAAAAGTACAAAGGCGTGCGCCTTCTGACATAAATGGCTTCACTCTCCGATCCCGACACCAGTGATTTGTCCACTCGGACACATTTCATTGGGCCCTCATTGTTCGCCGTCGGAATTTTCCTTGTGGGTCAGATCCCGGTGGCTTTGGACCGGGATTTGAGGGTAGGTTTGCACGTGTGATGGTGACATGCTTTGAGGAAATCTAGGGTTTTTGACTAAAGAAAGTAACCTTGCTTTTTCTTCTCTGCGTAATTATTACACATGTCTCTTGTATTTTATGAATTCAAAAATCATTTAAATTATTTTCAAACTACATTTATAAATCTTTTTCCTCACAACTTTTTTTTTTTTTTTTTTTTAAAAACACCGTTTATATATCCAAAATGTGATCATAACATCCCCACCGTGTTCTCTCTCATACTTGAAGCACATAGTAATTTTGTAATAATGCATTATCGAGTACCGTGATGCTTTTAAACACGTCTCAAAAGCATCAAGGCACTCACAATATCACGGCACTATAAGTGCTGCAATAAAGCATCACAATATTAATAGTATTGTGATGCCCAGAGCACTATTTACAATGATTCCCGACGTGAGAGAGTGTAAGAAATATTTCCATTCTATTGGAACTATGATATATGAATGGTATTTTGAAAAAGAAACATTAAAGTGTGGGAAAATAGGTATGGACATAATTTTAGAAAAATCTGAATGTTTTTAAAAATTTTAGAAAACATATGGAATTTTTTTATAATTAGCCTTTTTTTTCTTTTTGCAGAAATTATGAAAACACCCAAAACAATTGAATTATCTATTATTATGCCTAATTGTCACTATTCCAACTCAATATCTTGGTTTTTTTTTTGGGTATTTTGAATTTAAAGCAAAAAATATGCTAAAGTTTTTAAGTTATTCATCTTTTGTGGTGGGTAACTTGATAAATTTATCTCTTCTTTTAAATTTACATAAATGAAGGAGAGCTTGTTTTTTTTACGATGGGCCTTTTCAAGGGAGGTGGAGTATGACTCTGTGTTGAACATGGGACTGGCATGGTCATGGAGGTTATCACGGCCCATTTGCTATGTTGGACGGTGAGATATTTATCACTTTATGATCCATTGTTGAATGGTGAGAACTTCCATAACCGCTAGGCATGTAAGCATTTTCGGGTTTGGGTCTACTTGACCTCACCTGATCTTATCCGAACCAGATTTAGAAGTCTAGGTCAATCACAACTGGACCTAAAATATAAAATTAAATAAATTAAATAAATGTATACTTGTATAATATACTTGTATAATAAATGTATACTTGTATAATATACTTCGTCGTTTGTACATGTTTTGGTCTGTGTATGGACTATTATGTGGAAATTTGGACAAATTGAGATGGTAGACACATTCTACACAATATTTTTTTTATTTTTGTTTAGAGCACCTAGATAAGGCACATAAGTGTGCAAAAAGTATGAAACATCTAACTTCTTTTTTTTCTTTCTAGTTAAAAATAATTTTTGACACAACACTAGCGGTTCATCATTAGATCCCTCGATGTTGAGCTTATACTATTTTCATAGGCTTGTGTGTGTGTCAGGTTAACCCCAATACCGACTTAATCAATACCGTATCAAATGAACCTGGACCCGACTCATTGAGTCCGAACCTGTGCTCATGTTGTCAAGCAGACCGGATGAATATGACACCCCACCTATTCGAGGTCATGGGGATTGTATCTGTAAACAGCGGTGTGCATCAAGAAATGGTTGAGATTCGATGGAATTTTTAAACAAGTTGACACAGCCGTTTCGGTCGAAGCGAACAAATATATTTTATTATTATTTTAAGTTTTTTCTATTATTTTGATATATTGTTATATATAAGTATATACGTTATTTATATTAAATTTTACAAAAAGTCGGAAGTCTCTCTAAATTGGCTGAAGCACTGAATTAATTTCCTTTCTAACCAAATCAAATAAAGCTTCAAAGCAAATTTGGCAACACTAGCCCAGTTGTCTAGGCCAGTCAGATTTGGCCTGGCGCAGCTCGGGCCAGGGTCAGTGCCGGCCCATTGCCAACCCTACTTACGAGTGTGCATTATGGACCTTTTGGGATGCACTTGCAAAATATATAGTTTCCCACTTTTTGCTGGTTTGACCCCTCTCTCTCTCACTCTCAAATCAGTGGATGTTGAGAGCGTTTTTTTTTTTCTTTTTTGAAATAGTGGGATATTGGCCCTACCTGTCTATTAAATAATCAAAAGAGGTATTACATAAACAATTTTATACAACCTTTAGCAAGAGAACACTAGCAACATCAGAAACAATGTAATGCATTAAAGGTGAACACGCCATACAATTGCTTCATTCATAGAGCCCGCTACTTTGATTAAAGAATCCCCGCTACTGTGGCTAAAGAATCCGCAGCCATATTTCCCTCCCTATAAGTGTGTTGTGCCTTCCATTGCTGATCAACAAAAGATACAAGCTTAGATATACTATTATCCAAAATTAAAAGCAATATCCAAGGAACTTAAGAGTCACTCTCAGTAAGAAAAGATACACAATTCAACACCATTGCCAATGAAATACCTTTTTCAAATACATAAAATTCAACTGCGTTATTCGAATTGATACCCAACATAGCTGCAAAAGCCACAATAAAATCACCTATATCATTCCTAATAATACAAATACCATATTTTCACAACTTTCCTGTTCCTCTTCTTAGAAAATATAAACTTCTTCTTTTTTCTTTTTTTTTCTCTTCTCTCTTTATCTCTCCTCCTCTTGTGTGAAACACTACCTTCTATCTAAAATGCCACAAACAGATAGATGCCAAATTATTGACACCGAGTAATATCCCATGTATGATTATGTGCCACTTATGTGTGTTGTTATATGGCAAGGTTTCAACCACATTGGAGTGTTAAAGAAGAATAAAAAATCACTAAGAAGTCAAAACTTATTCCATTCCTTTGAATAGCTTTCTTTACCCATAGAAAAAAAAAAAACACTGGGGAAAAGCAAACAGGACCTCCTCCTATATAAAACAGAGGACGTATTGTTTTGGGTGTGGTTTTTATAAGGTTGCAACTTTAAACAATCCAATTAAGGCACACCTCCAAATCTTATTATAACATGTAATTTTAGTGTAAAAATTTATTAAGATTATTTTGAAATTTATTATAAAATTTTAAATTTTAAAAATGGTTAAAATCAAGTAGATCTATTAACATATGAAAATCTTGAAAATGGACGGTCTAGATAATATGTTGCAAGATGCACTATTTCTGAGAGTCAAAATGTTTTTTTTTTTATATTCATATATCTCGATGTCGAGATGATTAATTAGAGGGTTTTTCAATATTAAAATAACATTTTTTTGATGGATTTTTAAAGTGCATCTGTAATTCTACCTTTTAAGGTTGCAACCTTATATAATTTTTTTCTTTTTCAAAATACCCATCAAAATACATATAAGTTGAAAAAGATTAAAATATTAAATTATTGATAAATTAGCCATATTTTGATTGTACGTTGAGTCTCTTGACCTCTATGCATTGCGGTTAGCAAATGCCAAAAGATTGTATGCTTCCATAGGATTATACTATAGCTTAACTCCCTCGTACTGCTCTAGTTTTTGGGACTCAAAATTTGGGAATGTAATCTCTTCATCATCAACTCAATGATCAACATGTATTTAAAAATAAAAGAATTAGAGAAAAAAAATGTATTACCCCTCTCTAAAACTTTTGTCCCAAGTAACCCTTTGGTCTCGTAAAAAGCACACGGAAAACCCCCAAATTAAATAACAAAATGATATTCATTATCCAAATTATAAAATTTACCCTTCTTTTATCTAATAACTTCATCTTAAAAATCAATGTGATCCCTCTTTTAACCTAATTTACGGTTTTCGAGATGAGAGAGAGAGATAAGAATTAACGGAAGGTTGCTAGAGGGAAAGAGCAAGTAAGAGGTCTTTTGGTGAGAAAGAAAAAGATAGCTTTTCCATGTTTAGATAGTAAGGTGATTAATAAAAAAAGAAAAAATCATGTCATTTGGACCATTGACAAGGTAAAAATGTATTAAACGTCTTTTCTAACTTAACTTTTGGGGGGTTTTATGAGATATTTACAGCACTAGTGGGATTTTTGGAATTATAATTTGGGAAAAGTTTATATAAGGTTGCAACTTTAAATGTAGAACTCTTGATGCACCTAAAAAATCCATTAGTAAAGGTTGTTTTAATGTTAAAAAACCCTCTAATTGATCATCTCGACATCAAGATGTATGAACATGAAAAAAAAAAGATTTTGAGTCCCAGAAATAGTGCATCTTACAACACATTATCTAGATTGTCTATTTTCAAGAGTTTCATATGTTTATAGATGTACTTGATTTTAATCATTTTTTGAGTTTAAAATTTTATAACTAGATTTGAATATAGATTTGAGATAATTTTAAGAATATTTTACATCAAAATTATATCTTATGATAAAATTTGAAGGTGTGCCTTTAATGGATTGTTTAAGATTACAACCTTATGGCATCCACACCTTTATAATTTTAGGGAAGGGGGTTTATTTGTTTTTCTAAGGTAATAAATGTACTCTATATAAATGTGCTTGAAAAAATTATCTTAAGTTTTAAGAAAGGTCATTCTATTTTTGGGTAGTGAGATATAAGTGTTTAGGAGCTTGAAAAATCAATTTCTTCTCATGAAAATAATTATTCGGTGTTTACTACGTGAAATCCATAATTTCAAATTGAAAAAAATCATCTCCGATAGGTCTTTTACCTGGGGAAGGAGATTTGGAAGGAGATGTATAGTATGCTCTTGCAGTAGAGCATGCTATTCGGGCATTTGCAGAATCTTACCTTTTATCCCGCACCAACTTACACACCACTCAACCATAGGAGAGAATAAATGATTTGCCTAACAAAAATATAATGAAACAATAACATCTATGAGGGCATCCAAACCATTCCATATGGATAATATATGATAAGCAAGTTTCTCATGGAGCTCTTAACCTTATGCGGTAAGATTATTTACTTTTGGTATAAGTAGTATTCTAAACAAAGATTGTTGATCCAAATTGGATGGGAATCGGTCGAGATTGAACCGGTTTTGAGATGGTATGCCTCCAACCAGTTTCTTCACTAAAACCCCCTATATATATAATTTGTCTTAGCTCCCATATAATTCCCACCCAATAAACCCTTATTTTAATTTTTTATTTTATTTTATTTATTTTTAATATTTTTCTAGATCACCGATTTGGACCTATTTCAAATTATGGATCCAACGATTCAACATGTATGTAGGTGAAAAATCCACCCCACCAATTTGGGTTTTAAAACACTAAGCAGAAGAAAGTAGTAACCACCCCTACCCATCAAAATTGAAATCGACTAGCTCATAGTGTACCATTGATCTTTCAAATTGTGTGCAGAAAAAAATCACATATTCTAAGTCATCCAGTTTCATATATATATATATATATGTATCTTCCCAATGCCTATAGGCGAAAATGAACAGTGATTTTTTCTACCATCATCACCATTCAAAGTTCATCGTACGGTCACGATTGTCCGATATTGTTTTATTTTTTCATTTGTTTTCTACTAATCAGAATAATCTGAAATTTGGAGCATGTGTACATCTTAGTGAGGCACGCCTAATAAAATCATAAAAAAAAAAAAATCGTAAAAATGATCAAAATACCCCTAAAATTTTTCGGGGGGTATTTTAATCAATTTATTTCATGTAAAATATTTTTTTTGATATTTTTCGTAGATTCGTCTATTG